AGCTGAATTGTTTATCCGCACATTGAGGCACAAATGTGGTGAAATACACGTATTCTACATTCAAATGACCATTTGCATGTGTTCTGCGTATTGTGCTTCTTTGGTCTTCCTTTCAAGTTGTTTGATGTTAATTCAAAATGATTACTGATGTCTCCTCTTCACCACTTTATCCATCTCTCCTCTATTCAGTATTCTTTAAGAAGACTTCACAGAATATAAAAGCAGACGAAATTTAGTTCAAATATACCATTAATTCCTAAACCAGTAAATGAGTAAATATGTACTCACTTCCTTTCTTGTAGTTTACGATGTCAGTCTCTGGGAATGTGTGGGTGTCCAATAGTGAATAGTTCCAAATAAAGATGAAATAATTGTTTATTTTTCCATGTTTTCCATTGGTTTCATAACTGGTGTTGGTTCTTTCATGTAAAATTTGAATGTGGTCAACAGTAAATTCAAAATGCTTATTTAATTTGTATTTAGTTATTTCCTACATTTATGTGGTTTAATCAGTTAGACCATGTAGCGAAAGAAAAGCCACCGTGGACCTCATTGGGAATTGTACTGTAATTAATCATCATCCATAACTGTACTTCAAGTTACCATGTCTTTGCGAACTGTGTGCAAATGCAAAAATAGTAAGGTGTATTCTTTGTCAAACATTTTTCTATCAACTTGTGCATTGTTTAACTCTAAAGGAATGCTTCACACTGAATTCATGCCGACGAAAAATTCCAATATGACCGTTGATATACTTCGAAGTTTCGCTAACAAATTTTCTCCCTAGTTGATTCGTGACCATGTTGGTCTACCCACAACAAAATCAACACCAACACGACATTATACCACCGAAAACGTGGCGCAAGAAGACAAGACTGTTGAATTGGAGAGCTTAAACTGTCTCGTATCAACAGCCGGAATGATTGGCAGCGATTGCGTGTATATTTATACTTAAGGATGACAATGAGAGGTACTAATAACAGTGATAAATTAAAACAGTCAACAACCATAGGATTTCAGAGGTCATAAGTGAGGTGGGAGAAAATTAGGTTATAAATCAATAAGTAGGGTGAGAGAAGTAGAAACAGAAATGTTAAAATGACATGTAGAAAATTAGGTCTACATATTTAACTCTCAAAAACCTTGTAGGAGAGGGAGGGTCGCAAAACCTGTTTCTTTCCTTTAAAGATGAGTTACAGAGGTTTAAAAGTCTCCTGCTTTTGATTTAATGATGGTAATATTCTCTGCGAATGAGCTGTTTAGTTCCTGTCGTTAGTTTTGTTAATGAGCACTTCTAAGAAAATAGTTACATTGTTTAAGACATCCCTAATTCGTGAACTGAAATACATGGATTATTTGATTAATCAGATTGAAAGTTTTATTGTTGTTTTGTCAATTAAAGGAATTATGAAAACACATCGCAGAAGTACTGTATTCAACTTTTCGCGGTGAAAAACAAATCCACAAATGACTCTATCCAATAAGTAAATCACTGCTTCAACGAGTAATCCAGATGCCAACGATCGTTTATTTGTTCATTTTGTTTACTACTAGTTCTTGTTCTTAAACTGCGAGTAGGCGACGTCCCAGTGAAATTTATGGCCAAAACGCTAAACGGCAACAATCTTTACTCTCATTTACAGTTATACAAAGATTTATGCAACTTGACAACATGCCTTACTTTTCTTAATGTTGCCAGTACTAAAGTACCAATTCTATTGGTGATGCAACGTCCAAAAATCAAGTGTGGAAGATCAGAAAATCGCAAGTAATTCACATTAGTGCTGCTCACAGCAATTATAACTTGAATAAACTTGTTTGTTGATAGTTTGCAGTGGAATTGACAAAGTTCGTTTAATTCAGTTTAAAACTCATCGTCTGAATATATTTACAAACGAGTTGGCTCTTTGATTAGGCACCTTAACTCAGTGAGTTATCTGGAAACATACTACAGCTCTTCTCCATATATTGTGTAATACATGATTAAGCAGTCAGTACTCTTATGGCTCCACATATTTCATTAATCATCTGATTATTCCTATTTCATTTTGTTTTGGAGGAAAGTTGTGAAGATAAAGTTTGAAAGGTTATCAAAATCTTATAGATGCATAGCAAATAATAATGACTATCGCTAAAATTGCTCGGCAGAATCAAGTCTAATACGTCTTCAATGTTTCCAAGTTCCTTAAAGCCACGGAAACCAAAACACCACTATCAAACAAATAAATCAAGCACCAGATGGAACTTAGTTTACACAAGAAGGTGAACAAAACAAAGCGAATAAGCATATTAGCAGTGCATATCAGCAAAACCAACCACGGAAACTATACATGCCTTTGAATGACTCATTATAATGTCTAAAGTGATAGCAAAAAATTGTTAATATAGCTGACATTGCTTGGCAAAATCAAAAAAGCGAACGCAGGAAATAATAATGACGAATTTGTGAGGAACAGACTAACCTAGTATACGATCACTCCACAAACCAACGCCAATTATCAAACCAATGAAAACCGCACAGTGATGAATCATGGTGATGATGCTGGTTGCTGGGTGTCGTTATCACCTCCATCTTCACTATGTTCACTTAGAGTCGTGTCTTCGCTGCTTCTTATGCCAATTTGTTGATTATCGCCTGTAGAATTTCGAGATTTTGTGACATCAGGCATAACATGTCTAGGAGGTCCAGATCTCCTACAGTTTTCTTGTCGTATCAGGGTTTTCCTGTTTTTTTCGCTTCAAACTGTCTACTGCATAAACCAGTGCACTACAGCCATGAATTTCACCAGTGATAATAGGCAGTCTTGCCTTACTGAGATGTTCATTTCAAAGGCATCGTTGATCCTTCTTTTGTGAATCCCTTTTCATGTGACATCATCATATAGCTAATGAATGAGGATGACCAACTCTTGAGGCACTCCGTAGCAGTTGAGCAGTTCCTAATTAATTAGCAGTCAACATTGTTCAAGTCTTTTTTATAGTCGATGAGGGTGAGGTTGAAATTCGACTGCCATTCTATGTTCCACTGGATGACGGCATATGTCATCGTACTTTGATCCGTTCATGACCTACTGTTTTCTGAATCTGTCTTGTGGTGGTTGGAGTTTTGCACCTAGAGCATCTTCTTTTTCTCTCTCTCTCTCTAGGTTTCTGTTGCTTAATATTTTGCTTTGTGCGGACAGGAGCGTATTTCTGCTCCATTCCTTGCAGAGGAATACGCCAGTCCTTTAAAAGGCAGAGTCTTCTAAATATTTTAAACATAAATCTCCGAATGTTTGGCAGACGATTTGATCATGTTAAGTGTAAGGTGATGCTCTGAGAGTGAACTACATCAACTTCTAGCGTTAACTTAAGGAATGAAGTTTAAGGGCATGTTATTTCTTCACTTATTTGGGAAGTTGCATGAGACCCAACCTCCTGATAGCTGATGAAATCTCAGCACGTATTCAAAAGTCTCGTGGGGCATTTTTCAACTTATACCATCTTGGCTTAGTAGCTGTGTTGTTTGGCTGTCAACCAAAGTAAGTGTTTGCTGCACATCAACAGTTAGCTTCGCTCTTTTTCGAAGCTGTTGAATGTGGCCATTGAAAGTGGAACACATGAACAGAATGCCTGTTTTTGATCATAGGGTGTAAATGTGAGGTTAGGATTCGGATGTTAGGTAGGGAGATAATATCCCCTGAAAAGTTTATGAAACTTCATCGACCAAGGTGGCTACGACATGTGTGACGCATGCGTAGGCATAGACTACCTTGACGAGCAATGTTAGCTGACATAAGATCAGGTTGGAAAAAAGCTAGTTGGGCTCTAAACAAAACATGGCGTTAGTCCATGAAATCTCTAACAGTTAGTGTGAGACACTTAGAGAGGTTTAGACCATCTGTTTGGGTTTCTTAGGATTCTAATAACCATTGACTGGAGGCAATAGGTGATATGGCTTAAAATCGTTCTCAGTTGAGTAGATGCATTCATTGTTTGTGATCTACCATATCAATTAAACCCTGTGTACTTTCTCGCTCACATGTCTGTTTATCATCCTTCTTTTGAATCCATTTTTCTCTCATTTGTCTTCCTCTGAATGCCACACTTCTGTAAAACGTCCTGTGTTGAATAAATCAGTCAGTCATTATCATCTAAGTGTTGGTTTGCTGGGATTTGATTAGTTTCAGGATTTCTTCATCAACTGACATTGGTTAGATACCCACTTGAGGACTTGGGGGAACTAGACGGCTGTTTCGTCCTTGTTCGGGACTCTTCACAGTAGGCACACACCAAGGTTCGAATCCAGGATCTTCTGGTTACTAGCCGAGCTCGTATACCACTAAGCCACTGACACGATCTAATCGTCCATGAATTCTAACTTCTGCCACTTCAGAGACAATTAGATTGGGTCTACAATTTCGCCTTGTAAGCAGAAGATCCTGGGTTTGGAACTCAGTGAATACTTACTGATGAAGAGTCCTAGATTAGGACGAAAGAGCAGTCCAGTTCTAACAGGTTTTCTAATGGTCCTCTAACCCATTATCATTTAACTGAACTTTCGACAAAATAGATGTCATCAAATGTTTGTACCTGTGCTCCAAAGTATGACTTTGAACCTGTTTTTATCGACTGGAAATTAATTTCAGATTACTGTTATTTACGTAAGTGAACTTTCTTTAATTTTTGGATTATTTGGTAAAGCCATGCAATATCATTTTCTCCCTGTACAAATTATTAACGCATGATCATATCTGTAGTTATCATTTTATTTCTATTTCACCTACCCGGCTAACTCTATGTCATACTTTGGTTTTATATTAGGTGAGAGGGATTTATTGGGGAATTTGTATTTTGCTGATGGATTTCTTATAAATTAGGGTTAAAATCTACGGTTGCAGATCAATAAGAGCTTGCTAACTTTTTCAGTTATTACATCTGGCTACTTATAAATAAAACAACGGTAACTGTTAATTGAATGCAAATTTTACCAGTTTTGAAGAATCTTTGAATTTATAATGCATCAAAATTCAATTTTTATTTATATTATTACACCCATCCATTTAACCACTTGTTGTACATTTGAATGTTAGGTCGCTTTTCTTTCAAGTAGGTAGAGAGATATGCAAAAGATGCTGTGGAAAAATTACATATGCAATACTTCTAAGGCTATTCACCAAATATGGTGAAAACATATCATATACAATGTATTACAGTGAAGATATAGTTTACAAAAGTGAAATGCAAACGAATATAAGGGAAACCACGACGCCCAAAACAACGACAACGGTAACGACGAGAGAGACAATAAAGAAGAAGAAGAGATGACATTCTATGAAATGTCAGTCTCCTACATTACATAAGTTGATTCAATTGGTTCTTCATCATTCCAGTTTTATGGAGAATTGGGTCTCGTGGCTGTTATTTTATTTTGAGGTTTGACAAAATTCATTACTTCATATTGAAGTACACTTATTGATAGAAAAAAAATGTTTATTGCATGTAAAAATTAGTGCGCTATATAAGCAAACACTTTTTTCCATGACTGTTACTGATAAGATAATATTACATTTATCGTCTGCTTTACTCACTGAGTTGTTATCGTTATACTGTTCTGAGAGAAATAAAAATGTGTTTAACAATTTTAGGCAGACAGACTGAGAAAAGGTCAAAAATTTAAATGTAACAGAACAAAAAGGAAAGGTATATAAAACATAACTGTGACACTATGTTCTGTTCTAAACTCTTCTCTTCCGTTCTTATATTTCTTAGTTTAAAAGTCTTTAAACTCATTTTCACAATAATTTGTATTGGATATCCTCAAGGGTTCTTCTTCATAATCATCAAAATTACTTGAATCCCCAGGTCCTTTACTTGGTGGTAGGAATGGAGCATTTAGCTATAAAATAGAGTAAAAAAGCAGTTCGACAGATCACACTAAAGGAGATAATATGAGAAAATAAGTATTAACAATAGTTTCAGCTGCTGTTACATAATGGGTGAGTTTATTAGGTTTTACGTGGATCATGTATCAATAGACATATATTAAATTAGTAGAAATCCACATGATGTATAGTGCCGAATGACCTGAGTGTTTAGGAATTTATGATTGACATCAACATACACACACATCAATCAGAGGTGACAGTTAGCTCATTCGAGCTGATGTAAAGATAAGGGGACCGTTTTGGCCGTTTGCAGTCTAACTGTTCTGTAGTCTAATACAAACTGTGTATTTTTCAAATGACTGATTTCATTCTGAGCGCCTACATTTGAGATGGTTTCAACGTATTTGAATCTTTGAACTGAGTCAAGTCTAACTGATGAGGAGTCCCAAGCTAGAACGAAACAGCTGTAAAGTGCTTCCATGTTTTTCATTGACTCTCTGTTCGACGTCAGCTCGTGATGAAATCTAGCAACCAATCCAATCATAGCTGTTGGCAAGCTTGAAATCGGGAGTCTAGATTGCCATAATCTGGTTAGCGGTCAATGGTTTTCAACGAATAATGTAGAACATTCAATGTAACAGGAAGTTTTGCTCTCCTGAAACTATTTGTGCAGTCGACAAGCTACAGATATTATGCAACATACTACTGAATGATTGAGATGAGTAGTTGTATACCACTCATATAAACCAGTAGTAGTGCTTGCTAGCCAGATCAAAGTGATCTAATTACCAGACGGCTGTTTCGAACGTTTGGGGCCGATCTCATCAGCAGTTTACCCGATTTGACTCAGCTCTTTGAGTTCAATCAGTTCCAACCACCCGATTTCATGTGAGTTGTACTCAGGTACTCATCTAGAACAATCAGTAGTATATAGCATTGTGCATTTATACTTGCTTTCTGCATCGGCATTGATGGTATCAAACAGATTTGAATAATCTCGGTTTCCAAAGAAAACTATGGTCGAAGTGTGTGAACTGCTCATTCATTAGCGAAACTGACAAATAATTTGCAAATTTTGAATTTTTTTACACATTGTGCTCAGGAAATTGAAGATTTTCTAAGTAATCTGTCTTTTGTACTGAATATATGATGTATTACTCATTACATTTTAAGTGGTCATTTATTATGAACTACAGTAAGATAATATATTAAATAAACATTATAAACTCCTCAGTCTCTGCCTGCATGTTTCAGCTGTGTAATTCATTCTGATATATAAACTCATGATTCGTCACTGAACACTCGGTTTGTGTACTCCTAACAACTTCTAGATATCTGAAAAGAGTATTTTAGATTTATGTTATGACTCAACTGTTTCATTTTCAATTATCCTCCGAATTTAATTAACATAAATCTATGACACATTCCATTATACTGCCAAATATTTTTATTGCATAAAATATAGAAGTAATAGACTAAGAATAAAGAGAACTTTGCGGATCGAGGTATAAGATAGAAAGAAGGGGAAGTTCTGTTTGTATTCGTTTACAGGAAGTCATCACTATTCTGGTTAGTGGTCATGACCCATTTTGAAATCAGCTACATCCCTATGAATTAAAAATTGAACATTAATGCAGTTCTCATTAGTGACTGTCTAAAGGATGGACTTTCTGGAGTTCTAGTGATAAGTCATGACCAGTGGATTCCACCAAGTCAGGTGTGATGAGAGATACTCACTGATAAGATTGGTTGACGGTGTTGCTATGTATTCGGAATGGAGAGAAGTTAGAATTCAAGGGTCATCATAGCCGCCTAGTAATCTGAAAGTCCACGGTTTGATCCAGGATGAAGTAGCTGGAGTGTGCTGCTGGAGTTACCAAAATGAGGGTAGAACAGCTCTCTAGTATTCCATGGTCTACAGTAGTTCATGTGAGTTCTTGGTTTAACTCAAAACTAGTCTGTTTATTTCTCATGTTATCATTTCACAAAGAATTCATCAGTAGTATGATGACTGCACACGAGGATATGAATAATTTCTTACACAATTTATGTGTTGTTCATTATGAGATTCATGTTAACATAAGGAGGGTTAAATGTTCAGTGAAGCTAAAACTAAGCCTATATTATTCACCACTTAAAATTTTGGAAGAAAATACTTCTGAAGAACACTTTTCGATAACTGCTTTTCTGAAAGATTGTAATAAGAAGCGGCTAGAACTTCTAACCAATATTTTAAACCAGTTGCTTCAGAATTCATCGTGTGGATAGAGTGACCTTTGGCCTGACTATAAAATTTCATCATTTTTTAACCTTATCTTTTTGGCCAAGTGATTAGATTTGTTTATCTATGGCTTAAATTCCAGAGGTTTTGTAAATTATATACGCCAAATATTTTGTCTAATAAATGATCATTTTAGCAATCCTGTGTGTCGTCATCTTCGCTTTCGTTATCTGTATCCTAATGTAACAACAGAAGGCAAGAGTCAGGCAACAGATCATTTATTAAGGACATCAACGCATATTTATATATTTTCATGTACATTACTATGGATATTTAAACAAACAAACACAGTCTCCCGATTGGTTGTTTCTCACATAAAGTTAATCTTTCATCTATTTGTGACTGTTTCTTGAATGTCAAATCCTCTATATGTCAACTGCATCCGCCTACGCACAGTCTGCTGTGGTCGGTTTTGAATCAATCTTTGTTCACATTTTCTCACGACAAATCTTGGGAACGTAAATATTGACGTAAATTACTGTCTACCAATTTGGCTAGTAGACAGCTCTCACCACACTAACAGTCACAGGTCAGTCTTCGTCTTTTGGTGTTTACTTGGCTCAGCGGAATGGAAGGTACTAACGAAGAATAACCGTATCTAGCATACCACTTGAGTTGTCCATTGCGATCAGTGTTATTATACCCACGTTTAAGTCCATTCGGTCAAATCACATGTCAACCAGATTGGAAATAGATTGGAAACAGGTTGATATGAGATAGCAACAAATTCTCTAATGAAATTACTCGGCAAATAAAATTGAAGCTCATCATGGAATTCCATACCGTATAAATTCATTAGATACTACAAACAGTGATACAGTATTAATACCTGGATGACGTTTGCAGTACAATTTATCGCTCATAATCATATCAGTGTACCTACAAAACGTCTAACTACGTTTACTTAGTTGATTTCTCCCTATTGTTTTGGTGTTGCATCATTTCTATTAAATGTGTTCAGTTTGCAGCTAATGAACAAAGATTCAATGATTCACCTCCTTCTCTATTATTTTTGATTAATTTTACCCTCTTCCACTCTGTTATATGTCCGCATGCAAGTGCATGTATAACAATGGCCGAGCCTTTTACGAGACTAGTCATTCTAAATTTAACTAAATTCCGATGTTCCGATAAGTTAACACATCCATATCTCCTAGTTTAACCTATGCACTTGACCTCGCAGTCTTTATGTGGTGCTTGACGCATCGTACTATTTTGCGTAATTAGCTTCATTGGATCCTTATATAAGATAAAATAATTTAATTTGCCAAATACCACGTGAGGTCACTTACGTAAATCAAACTAGTATATCGGTGTCCTTCAGGTTATAATTGCATTTAGAAAGGAAACTGGTAGAATATTTTAACTGGAAATCAATAATTAATGAAAACAATAGTTTACCTCTTTTCGATAAGTTGTAACCCAATTAGTTGGTCGAAACCATTTATGACATTTGATATCATCAACACCATTTTTTAAATTACCAAAACGTTTTGTTAAATCAGTTTGTAAGAGTTGCTTGAGAAGATTGCGTAGATCAGGACTGACATGTCCAGGGAATCGAACCTTAAAAGAAAGTAAAAATAAATTAGCGGATTTTGAAAATAAGGTACAGCTGAAAGCAAAAGCATAATCATTAGCTAATATAATTTTTCTTCGGAATAACCAAATTTATTCATCAGTGTATTATGTTGGTAGTTTAATGCAGGAGGGCTGACTGGTAGTGCAGAAGATCCGGACTCAACCCCCTGCCGATGCACTTCCAATTCCCGCCTAGTTCACTAGCCGGTAATAACACAATAAAAGAGGAAAGGTTGAGCTAGCATCCTGGTAAAAACAACACCACTGCTACTGAAACTTGGCAGCTTGAAACGCTATGTTCCACTCAGAAGGCAAGGAATGAAACAGAAAAAAACAACCAAGGTATATTGCCTGTGATAAAGACCTACTTGACTCCTGTAGTGTTTGACAGTAAATTTATAAATGTGCCAGTTTAATTCTGCGATACCTAGATCATAATAAGAACAATAATAATGTATTACACTGTTATGACTCCAATGGTCATTTAGCACATTACGTTCGCATTATCTCATGAGTATAAAATCTAAGTATGAAAATATTGCCTTTTAAATTATCTAAGTATTTAGAAGGTGATTCATCCGCCAAGTTGCAGTGACTGTTCTGCTCTCTGAAAATCATTATTTTCTCACAAGAAAGAATTGAAACTGTATGTGTGTACTGTCAGACTCATCTGAAACAGTGATCTAGTGAGTAGCGCTTTTGCGTTTCCAGTGATAGGTGCTGCATTCGACTATGAAATGGGATGTCATTCATCAGTTAACCAGAACGCAGGTTAATCCAGCTGAACAGTCTCAAGTAGAATGTAACCCTCATCAAGAATTCTGCTACCAGTCATTACCAAACAAGCATTACCCAATAGTAGTTAATGATTGTTTATTGAGGCGTAAACTGCAAAACTAATGCTTAAATATCTAATTATTAATTGATGAAATTATTAAAACAGATTCATGTAAGTCACCCTTAGTCTTTGATATTAATCAGCATAGTTTATCAGTAGATGTTAATTTTGTCTCAAAATCATATGGCTGTATCCTGCTATCTAGCCATAAGTTGTATTTGAAAAATAAAAACAAATTCGTTAACACCTTGTTTCCAATTTAAAGAAACTTATTTATTTAATTTAGGAGTTCAGTCGATATACCTAGCTTCACAGATTTCAGTAATCCAAACTAAAGACCATCATACTTTTTATAATATAAACTGGAATAAAAGAATGTTCTATTTCACTTATTTCTTCTTGTCAGTGAACGTAACCGATATAACAAACTATTTATTCAGCATCTATTAAAACAATATTTGGTGTTAACATTTAAATTTAGGAAAAGTTAATTGTTTTATTCAACAAATCAGATTATGATACACCGATGTATTATAAAACATAGAATATTGAACATGATACATTGAACATTGAAACCCACTTCTCTTTCGCCGTCTATTTAACTGTTTTAACAACAAAACAACGAATAAAAAGAAACACAATTGCAAGGCAGATTCTAACACCACTGCTACATGTATAAAGAACATTACATATATCCTTTTACCTTATATAGGTGGACATTGGCACCGTTTATGGTATTATTTATTATTCGTGGTCATATGATCGAAGTGTATGAATGAATTTTTTTTATTAAAAAGAGCAGAAATAATGTGAAAAGATAAATTAATTTCAATTGATAATGCAAGTTCTATGTACAATTATAAATGCTGATACTTTTTTTAATACGAAGAAACTGATATATCACTTAGAGAAAAATAGAAGCAAGTCATTTCTGTGTTTCTTCTGCCTTTTTATTATTTTGAACGCCTCCGAATTGTGCACATTATGATCAGTGTCCAATATCTGGCGTGCAATCGTACTATTTTTATGCTTGTGAGCCCTTTAATCTCAGGTCCTTTAGTGTGTATTCAGAAATGCTGGCAATAAGCCTTCCATCTGTTCTTTTAACGTATTTGTTTTGGCATGTACATGTAAACTGACAGACACGGAATTAGCATGAAGTGAGAGTTTGTCCACTTTTGATTGTCTTGGACAACTGGTCTGTATTCATACATATCCAAAATCTCAAATGTTACTATATTATTCACGTCATAATTATTTTCCTTTATAAAAACTCTTGACTAAATATACAGTGAATCAGCTTTCTTAACAAGGCATACTCAAGATGAAGATCTTTCTAAAGACAGACGAAGACATGGTGAACAAAGAAAGCACCAGAATATCTACGACTACAGCTATGACATTTTTCGCTTTAATAATAAAATTTAATTTTTATCCAATTTCTATAATTTAATTTATTCTTCCTTTTCTATGTCAAACCTGAAGATATCAGTTATTTTTGGAAGCACTTCATGATTGAACAAAACCACACGCTTAAACTCTTAGTCAGCTTATCACAATTTATTTTCACTAGACTGAATAATGGGTATTTTCAATGTCAAAAATGATATTTAAGTGAAATTCGGTGTGTTGAAAGTTCTCAATTTCGAAATGTTTAGTCTTTCTTTTTGTTTGCGTACGTTCATAGGTCAAAAATATTTTATAATGTCTACATTTGAAGATCTACAGTCTGAAACATAGACCTGATACTGTGCTACTCACTAGAGACTTTTGCTTTTTCTTTCTCCATCAGACTGCTATACATGAAGTATATCAATTAATTAGTGAAATTCATATCGTCACACCAGTTAAAACAACCGTATAGGTGTGCATCAGTTCAATCAAAGGATTTCTTTGTATCTTTCTACTAGCCTATGTAATTTCAATCACTAATTATTACTTGTCCATTAGAGTGCCAAATAAAAACTGTATGCTTTCACGTACACAATTAGCCAGGGACATTTTTATTTCTACATTATTCATTTAGTAGTGATAGTCGTAAATGTAAAGTAGCACAACCCAAACAGACAGCCCACCACATGACATTGAGCAACTAATCAGGTAGTTGTCTTTTCAAAAATCCATTCTATTCACTTTATTCTTGAGTTAACTTCTTATTCAATCCTGATTCTATCTAAGTTACAGTTGGATTTTGGGACTGACTTATGATTAGAGTTTAGGTAGGCATTACACTCACCGTTATTAGTGTATCAGTATAATACGCTTATCCTGACTTATTACTGAATATCATTCGGTAGGCTGTTCACTTGGGCTGTGATACCATATGCTCATTCATATAATTATGATGATGTAAAAGTTGGAATTCCATTGTCGTAGATGACATTCATTTTAGGGTATAGGCAGATTCATTTGAAAAAAATATTGATATGGTGTATACTTAACCAAAGTCCTCTAGGACTTTAATTTTAACTAATAAAGCATCTAGAGAACAAGAAGAGAAATGATTGAGTTTGTCATTTATTTGGAAAGTGACATCAACCTCAGTGGACTAACTGCTCAACCTAATCTCAGCACAGATGCAAAAGGTTATTTTGACATTTATCAACTTGAGTCTTTTTTGATGTAAACGTGATATCTAGCCACTGATCCATCTTTGTAGAATGGATGTGAGACTTGGCTGTCCAAAGTTTCTTTTGTATTCCTTAACGTCCCCAGTACGAAATAGGACTTCAAGCTAGAGGCTTCAAGTTTCTGTAGCAGTGGTGATTATTTTTACATGCTGTGGTTGCTAGCCTCATGCTTAACCTTCCCTCCTCGCCAGTCTTACTACTGGCTTAGCGAGGTAAAAGAGTGTGTCGGCTGAGTGACTGAATCTCAGACGGTCAACAGATTCCACCAAGATGAGTTATCAAACGGCTATTCTGAATCCTTCCTTTTATAATTACTACTATTTTGATAACATCTATCGTGTCTCTCCTTCACTTCGTTTAAATATATGTCGCAGCATCATTGTATTAGTCTTTTGAATTAACCTTTAGCTCTAAGAAAAGCTATTAGAATGTCAATCGTGGACTGTTGTTAACTGCATCGAGTAAATATTCAGCAATCACAAGTGTTGCGTGTTATATTATACAGATTAAAATATATTTGTACAATTATTTTAGGTTCATTCGATTGCTTAATGGTCATGACTTGCATCTCAAAACAGTTAAATGTTGTCAAATATGATCATGAAGAGGAGTGGTACTAAATAGAGGCATCAAATCTTCATGGTGTGACTATAATTTCGCAGACATCTTTCAACAAACAGATGAAGTTAGTAAGAGTACCATGAGTTACAATTTGTCTTTATCTATGCTAATTGTGAAGATGCGACAAGGGAATCAGTGTTTACTTAGCGGAGTTAGTCTTCTTGTCATCAAGTTTCGTAATCAGGCACCTCACAGCAGAGCAATCTATCACACAAATCATTGAGTACCATGAATAATTAACTGAATGAGAGTTAACATAATGTCATTTGATGACTAATGTTTAGAAATCAAGTTCATACTATAAGTCTGATTTTTTCTACAAAACATATGAGAAACTGTGTAATTTCATTTCACAGCAAATTACGTACTAACATCTTTTAGTGCAGCTGTTAATTTACAGCATCTAGTACAAAATAACACCACACTAGTTAACTTCCATCTGTTGAAAGTAAATTTGACCCAAAAACTTAAACACTTAACTTCCAGCCTGTGATTTTGGGTTAAAAAATCACTCCACCTACTTCAGCCTGGGAAACTGCCTAGTATTATCAACCCTCAAACTAAAAGTATGTGTGTGCGGCTCATAGCCTATTATTATTGTCCAGCTGCGTTCCAAGTGGAACATAAGGCATCAACAGCACATCTCCACTTCGTCCTATTCCCTGCGGTCCCCTTTAGCTGGCCTCACGATTGTCTACAGCCTGTCATCTTCTCTCTCATGATCTCCTCCATGTCACTCTTGACACCAAATCCAACTCGCTGTTTTCCACTTGGGTCCCACTCGAGAGGTGGCCTAGTGCGCAATGTCATTTGAAGGTTTCCATAGCGTGTTTTCAATCCATCTTCATTTTATTCCACATATTTTTTGTGCAACAGGTTCTTGATTGGTTCGTTTCCGAAGTTTGTTGTTACTGATTCTTCCTTACCGTTCATCTGACGTGTGGTATCAAGCCAAATTAGCCATTGATAGAAGTGTGCAGTATTCTGTTGAGAATGCTTTACTTGACGAGCCAAGTTTCTGGCCCATGTATAAGAAGTGACTTGACACTAGTTTTAAAAATCCGAATCTTGTTCTTTATGCTGAGTGCAGAAGATTTCCAAACTGACTTCATAGGGGTGAAGGTCTTTCTCACCTTTCCGATCCAACCTGGCTTTGACATTCTCATCCGTTCTACCACCTGTAGTTGAAACGATGCTGTCTAGATAAGTGAAGGAACTGACGTTTTCCATCATCTTCATCTTCTCTATGTTCACTTGAAATCCTGTATCCGGTACTTCTTCTGCTAGTTGGTTAGCTTTTGCCTGTAAATCTTCTAGTGTATGTGCTATTAGACATATATGATCCGTGAAATCCATATCTTCTAGAGTCTTCTAATCAGTCCAACGTATTTCTATCTTCTCGCTCACGATGCAGTCTTCCTCACAATCCAGTCAACCACTGCTGGGAATATCATCGGTGATAGTGGGCCCCCTTGTCTCACTCCTGTATTCCCTCCAAAGGTTTCTCTGAGGTTGATCGTTTGGTACCTGCTAAACGAGCTCAAACAAACTCAGCATTCGTTTTAAATAATTATTATCTGGTTATTTTCAAGTAGACGTATCGGTTGTTCAGCTGCAGAATGCTCGCCGACCACGTAAGTGGTGGGGGTTTCGATCCCCAGCCGATGCAATCCTAAATCTCACTTAGCCCATAGTAAGCCCGGTAAAGAAAGAAGGTTCAGCGTGAGGCTGGAAATCTCATCTCGTAAGAATATAATACCACTGTTACTGAAACTTCAAAGCTGAAGCTTCTAGCCTTATTTTCTATTCAGAACGCAAAGAAATCAAGTGAATGATTTAAATAAAACAATGATATTTTCAAGTACAGTCTGTTTTAGGATTTGTCCTACTCCTGTGAACTGACCACTCAGTTGTTTGTTTCTCATCATTTCACATTCAGGTTATAATAAATAGATGAACGCGCTTTTTATTCTTATTTAACAGTCACTGCAAAAAGAAGGAGTGGCAATAAGGAGAACCATTATACATACAGAAATAGACTTACTTTACCGGAAACTATTTTCTCATAAATCTGAATTGGTTGATCAGCAAAAAATGGCGGATAACCACAAGCCATTTCATAGACTAAAATACCTAATGCCCACCAATCCACTGCTTTATTGTAACCCTATCAGCAGATTGATTGATTTTTGTCCAAAAAAGTTATGTGGCATGGGGGCAGATAGAAAATTTAAAAGATTATGTTTATTTTGTTTGCTTAAGGTAAATAGAATAAATAGAAATGTCTAAAAGTGAAAAAAACAACATTCCACATTGAATCTAATAAATTTCTCCTTTTTTCAAAGAAAAAGGTTAAACAGAACATAATCATCTTTTGGTCAAGTGTTGTGTTGTTATTTGTCTCCTTTTGTTCAGTTTTTTTTCGCTGAAATCGCAATCAGTTTCCCACTTCATTTGAACACAGTCAATGGTTTATATTAATCACTGAAGTATCAAGAGAAGAAACATTTTAACTTCAATGAACTACTTGGTTTTACTGATTTAATTATAGCTAATCTTGAAGGATGTTTAGTTTTCATTTGGCACGCTTGCTGTTTTAAATGTGAATTAGTAAGATAGCAGATTAAGTATTTTAGTTTAGAGTTCATCATAAACTGAAATAGTAGTTAGAGAATTATTGGAAACCAAGGAGCACTGGATGATATTTGTTCGAAGTTTCCAGCAGTGGGATTATATATGATCGAAAAATTGTTTGAACAATTTCTCCTGACCTTATCACACTATTTAAACTTAATCGAACCTTTCAACTAACTTTGTAACTCCTATCCGTCTTTCTCTTAGACTGCATATCATTATTTTAACATTTGCATATCACATGTTGATGTGATACATATTATTTATCTTTGTTCCTGTTTAATCTCTAATTTCAATGCTTCTCTTTGTGGTTATATATACATTCATAATGTGTTGAACGATGTAATCTTGTTTGAGTGGATGAAGGTTATCTGTCACCTCGAACTATCGGCAGGAAGCATTGGTGTGTGAATCTTGTAGACATGGCTTTCGATCCCACCTTGAGGAGAACATTCTAATTGATTCTAAGTGCTCGTTTTTTACTCAGATGTGACGGCTTAGCTGACTACCCGCACTGCTGAGATAATTCCGAGTTTTTATGCCATTATTGTTTAATAGAACCACAAAATTATTCTAGAATAAGCGTGTTTTTCCTGGCCATTGAGAATTTACTGATTACGCGTGTCTCAAAAAAGTTTAACCAGCTATACGGTAGAATGCACAGATAGGTTTTTTTGCGTTCAAATCATAACGAGTCGGTTGTGGTCGCTACATAATGAGTAAGCAGTGATAAGGAGTTCTAGACTAGAGCAGTGCTTCTAGGTTCCCAGTAATTCTCCATCTAATATTAATCCAAGACAAAATCAATGTTGAAATTAATCAAAATGCCTAGAAAGGAGAAAATGTGAGTAAAGTACTGTATTGAGGATGATAAGCTCAGTTCAGATTCTATCAAAGGAAAATCATGAGTATGAATCAATTACTTTAAATCATGCCCTTTGATAGTACTGTGCTGAGAGTTGGCTGCTAGCCAAAGTTGGTAGACAGTAATTGACGTCAATGTTTATGTCCCAATTATTGGTGGTGGGAAAATGAGAACAAAGGCTTTGCGTAGGCGGATACAGTTAGCTTATGGATGATCTGACACATCCACAAATAGATGCAAGGTTAACTTTCTGTGAGAAACAATCAATCAAAAGACTGTATTATCTACTAACAATAATCTACAATAATGTACATTAAAATCTATAAATATGTGTTGATTTTCCTTAATAAACGATCTGTTGACTGGTCCTTATCTTCTGTTGTTACAGTACTATGGTCCATTTTGTCCATTGTCCAAATAGGATGATGCTTTGCAATTTAAAATAAATGGTACTGGATTCAAGTTTCAACGAGAACATCATCACTCCCCACCAGGGTACTGACAAATGTAGTTGACAAATCCGAAAGAGGATATTACGCACTCGCTTGATCCCAATGCTATTCACAATAAACCATGTGGAGACGTTTGCTAACCAGACAATTCAAAAGCGAAAGCTATGGTTAGTTCCTTTTTTATTTAGTTACTGTTGTAATGCGTCAAGATAAGAAACTTGGTAACGAATTGCTTACTAGCAGTTTGGCATACATATTTAGCGAAATTATGTGTACCTTATATTAAAATCGTCATTCGCATCTTGGGTTTTATGCTACTTCTGCCACTCATATTGTGTTGTTTTGTTTTCTTTTCGTGTCTCCCCTTTCTCTGCCACAATGCTAGTTCTTTTTCTCTCTTCGACGTCAAATCTTTCTCTTCGCTATTTGTTATGTTTGTGCCGATAGTCATCAAATTATATACTGCTGATACATTTTGTCACACCATGATCACTGACCAGATATTTTAGTCGAACACCTTCTTCAGAATAATTTATCATATTATTTCAGCCGTTTTTTAAAGTGCTTTATTATCGAAAAGTTTACCAAATAACAGTCCGTTTTAGCTTCTCAGTTTGTTGATAGACAACATTAGGATTACTTAAAAATGAGTAAACGACATACTTTACTGGAAGATCTTTCTCATAAAGAACTAGACATCTCATCAGATATTTGAGTTATTTAGGAAGTCTCTGTGTAAAACATTAGGTGCATAAGGCACATTTTCCAAAGATCTTAAATATACCTACAGTTCATATTGTTTCTTTGTACATCTTAAAAGTTTTACTCACTTTGCTTAAGATTATCTCAGGCGCAAGATATTCTGGTGTTCCACACAATGTCCATGTACGACCTTTTATTTTTTTAGCGAAACCAAAATCAGTAACCTACAAAATATAGAAGAAAAAGTGGTATTCAATCAGCATGAGTTGATTGACAATACGTCTACAATACCGAAAGATGATTACTTTTGTGTAGCATTTAAAAAAAACATGCTACTTAACTACTTGTGTGAGAGATTTGTTTGATTTCAAAGCTCCTGTTGTCCACTCGCTGGACAACATCTTCAGTGCTTACTACAGTGTGTGGAGTAAGCTTTTGGAATTTTCCATGAACAGAATATTTGTCTATTCTAGGTAAATTTCGGTGTGGTTGGTTGTTCCCATGGATTTCCTTATTATTGCATTCCCTTATGTTGGTGTCGAGTATTTTGTAGACCTTGTATTTGATCTTTACATGAAGTGCGTTATGTCCACGGAGAATTCGCAAAAGCTGACTCCACACATTGAAGTTAGCGCCAAAGGTATTGTCCAGAATGATAATTAAAGCTGCGTAGTTCCGCTGTATAGTTCAGAGAATACAAAAACATGCATCTCAGCTAAAAATCTTCTTCACTGTTTTAAAGTTTGTTTGTTAAAAAGGAAATTCACTCTTTACACTCAAAATACACAAGCATGATGACACAATAATTCAACGCTACCAAAGACAATTAGATCATATTCATGTGGTGATGAGATTCTGTAAGGAAAAGATGACTACTGAGACAATTTAGTTTCCATCGACAGTGAACAACTTCCTTTGTACCAAACTCAGTATCAGATGGCCAGAAAGCGTCAATAACAAGGAACTCTGGGAATGAATTAGCTGATAATCGACTGTCAAAAAAACACACCGAAGATAACGGAGATGGATAGGACACACACTTAGAAGATCGTTGAGTGGTTTCATGCTCCAGGATTTCTCTCAATTGGAACCTGAATGGAAAATGACGAACTAGCTGTTGATCAAAGAGTGGTATGCAGGAGATCATGTCAGCTGGAGAAGAGAGCTAATGGGTAATAGTGGGGCCAGCTAAAAATGACATCCGAGAAAAGAATGAAGTAGGTATGTTTTGCTGAAGCCAAACTTTCCAATCGGAACAGAAGAGAATACTAACGATAAAATAATAATGAATAATTTGTTCGCAAAAGAGCGGAGACTTGAAGTCGCTATCTAAGTAAATGTCATCGCTGATAGTATAACGGACTATAAGTGGCAGAACCTTTTGCACAAACTTCTCATTATACTTTTTGTATTATCAGTATGTAGATAAGCCGGTGACACTCTGTAATGAAAATTACTACATCACTATGTGACGATTAAATTGAGCATACGTTTATATACCTAAAACAACTAGAGATGTTGTTAGCGGCTAAAATAACGTCTCATAAATATCTATACACAGTTAAGTTAGTTGGCTTCCTGACATATTTTTCACGTTGATGGAAATTTCCAGTATGAATTCGAAATGTTAGTTGAATAAATAAACACTGAATCCAAGAAAACAACTTCATGTAAGCATCTAAATTCTAGGTTAGATGTATTCATCTAGGTGACATGGATGGACAGATGGACAGAACAAAATCACAATTAATGGACGACTGGACTGCTGGTATATGAAACAAGTTAAGTTTTCTGATAAACCGTTATCATTTCTAGTGGAATACAATAAACCTGAAACATGCTGTTGTAAGCTTTTAATGAGCTGATCAACATTGAGTACCTTGGTCATATATATGTCCTGTAGAGATCGTAAAAGAAACTTTTTTCCACTATTATTTGTCGTTACGAAGATGAAATTATGAGACTGTGGTTTGCATGCGATGAAATTGAATCCACTTATATTATGACTTACAGTTAAGAGAACTGCCTACTAAGCAACAATAATAATAACAGCTTTATTCTGAGAAGTTCGTCTTGGACATAGTACAGAACTGCAAGATTTTTACTCCTTGTGTTATTTTCATGAGATATATTTACCAATAGTGCGTCGCTTGGAGGAATACTGTCCCATCCTAATTACAGAGTTTTCTTCCCATTTCGAAAAACTCGCATCATTAGATTAAAAGCTTTTTGAAGATGTGCGCGAGAGTACTTTAGGATTCATGGATGCAGTTGGATAGTAAAAATCGATGCACTTTTGTGGATGGAAAGAATTCGGTGGTCCGGTGATTTGGGCAGACCACTAGATTCACTGTGTTAGCTGATGCAGGATTGAATTTAAACGAGGAGTTAGGCGTAGTCAAACTAAACATGACACCTACACATGATATTTTTGACTGTTACTTTGAACCACCTAAAGAGATGTCTATTGCCTGTCTGGCTGAGGTCATCAAGATTTTAAGAAGCAGTGGTTGGATACGTGTTGATATGGCTTCAAAGAGTTCTGAATAGTGTAGACGAATTCACTCTTCGTGATTTTCCAAATCCATTAAATCCCGAATTATCCTCAATGTGGTTATTCCTTCTTCCATTTATTTTCGTTTGTTATAGTTTATTTTCATCATTTCTCTAAGTTAATATATGCTTTATGAAGTGTAGTGACTTGAACTGTTGAAAATTCAATCAGACTGGGTAAATTTAGGAACACGATATGTGATCTACTTGAAACCATAAATAACATAAATGGATTGTTTCAACTGTCGTGACTCTCTGAGTTGAGTTCATACCAAGTGCACCATTGATGAGCTAGACCTCTGACGCACTATACGACAGTCTCGTGTTTAGATCACTTCGATCTGGCTACGAAGCATCACTAATTGATGGGAGTGTTATCCGACCATTTTTGTCAGTCAGTCAGTAGTAGTATATGCCATCATGGATTAATCCAACTAGATATAAAGTTTTCGGTTGAGGATTAACATGACAAGAATAAGTTTCAAAATGTTATCTTAGACATTAGCGTTTCTCGTCTATGTATTTGTGACCATTTGTAGATATTTCCAAATATGTTACAATTACACCTTTGTTTTCCTTTTTATTTTGGTATTTTTGTTATTTTCAATAGTTTCATTAGTTCATTTGTCAAACTCAGTGATCAACAAAAACTGGAAAAAGATAAAAACATTCAAAAAATATACACAAACTGATCACTGGCTAACAACCAACAAAAGCAAACGTAGTTGTCTGCTTCGTGCTTACAGTCAATCACATGTACCACCAATTTTTCAGTAAGCAGTCAATGGCACATTAATTCTGTTTATCGTTAGAGGACCACTAAAAGTCCGCTATTGAATAATGAGAATGAATTGCTAGAAGTATTGTAATTACTTATGATAATTTGATCGAAACTACCGTAGAGAATTGCATAAGGGTTAAACAAGTATTATTACTTGAGTAGTGATACAAGGTGAATTATTTTTGACAACTTATCGATGATTAAAGAGCATATCAAACGAAGCTGAATCTGTCTTTGAAAGAAGTATGCTGTACAGGGGAAAATCGTCATAAAGCAAAAACTAAGATCAAATGGCGAGAAAAAAGCTTGATACTTCAGCACATATCTTCCGTAGTAGTCACAAGTATTTATGAGACTAAATGGATTTGTTCTTACATTATGTGAGCTATTTTCATTGATGACCTATTTAAGCAGTATATTTATTTGTAGCACAAGTGTTTCTGAAACAATTTGGATAAATAGGTTCACCGAAAAAATTCTTTTTAATTCTAATTCCAAATATCATGTTCACTTTTAGATTAAAAGGTGCAAACTTAAACTCACTCACTCACTCACCGCTAACTGAAAGAGAGAAGAACTCAAGGTAAAATGCCCCAGTAATCGTGATTGAGACTGAAATATTAGGAACTGCTTGAGTAGCTAATATGGTGATGAGCAGATAGTCACACTCTGGGCGACCTGGGCTAAATTAAAGTCTGATTAGTGTTTGGATTTCTTAACTCACTTATGCGGTGTGAAGTTAATATCCCGTTTGGTATAACTGCAGATACTTTTGCGACCTATGGTATTTGTCTTAAATTTAGTCATCTTTCCGTTGCATGAAAATTCTCCCGTTAAACTAAGCCCAATAGTCTGAGAGGAAACCAACTCTATCATATAAATTCTTGTTAAACAAAGATTTTTAAACTTTAACTTTTTCTGTGAAGCAACACCTCCGTTTATTCAAAGGTTTGAAGCAGATACAGCAACAGAAAGAAATTATCACACTGATCATTCACTGCGTTCGCTACAGTTGTACATTTCCATTGTAATCAGTCTCCTCAGAGTGTTTGCCCAACCTATTTCCATTTCCTTCAGTAAATTTGTTGGGCAACAGGTCCTTCGTGGTTGACTACTTGCCACAGCTTTTTGCTGCTTGTCTTGAACGGCTTTCTGATTTTCAGTATCAAGTGAAAGCAGCTGTTGATGGGAGTTTGCAGCCTGCTTCCAGTGATTTTAGTGGCGTGAGTACCATGTCGATGAACTATATATTAATGGTACTAATTCGACTTTTCGCCCGGAAATTTTGAATCTTGTTCTGTACAGTAAGGGCTGTTGATTTCCATACTATTATCAAAAGTAATGAATATTTGCCACGTCTTCTAAATCCTGATTTTGACATCCTCATCCGTATTGTCTGGAGCTGGCACGGCGTTAGTAAGGTGAGTGAAAGAGACTACTTCCTTTAAATTTCTTCTGTTGACGATGACCGGTGCTTATTTTTGTTGGTTAGGAATTTTCATCAACTGTGTCCTTGCTATGCCTACCTGAAATCCTACTTTGTTTGTGAATCTTTGAGTTTATATGACATGACGTATTGATTATCTGCTAAGTTTAAGTCAACTTGAGTCTTAGCAGTGGAGGAAGAAACTTTGAAATTCCCATAATGGACATCTTGCTTAACGGCTTTAAAAGTATGGTAAAGCACGCTTAAGTGAGCAATGGGTTAGAAAGTGCATGCTATTGACAGATAATATCTACGAAAAGCTTTTCTTTTACTAACCTTAAGATAGCCATCGCTGGCAATCAATAAGTTCTCAGGTTTTAAATCTCTGTAGATTAAGTCAAATGAATGTAGATATTCAAATGCCAATACAACTTGACTCGCGTAAAATCGTGAATCGTCTTCACTACAAAAAAACAAACAAACGATGACACAATGAAAAAAACATCAGTATTGAAATATTTTCAGATATTTTATCAGATAACATGAACAATTTATAGTGAAACATTATTTTATAAATATATAACTCTCTAAAATTATTTGGTAATTGATGTTTAGGAGTGCAATCCAGGGATCAAGCTGGATTCAGGAGAGGCAAATCATGTTCTGACCAAATTGCAACTCTACGCATTATCATCGAACAAAGCATGGAATGGCAATCAAATCTCTACCTCAACTTCATAGACTTTGAGAAGGCCTTCGACAGTGTTGACAGCGAAGTAATTTGGAAACTACTCGAGTACTACGGCGTACCCCAAATATTCATCAACCTTATTCATTAGCTGTACGACAACGGCACATCTCAAGTGATCCACAACGGAAAACTCAGCGAAGCGTTTGGAGTAAACACAGGAGTCAGACAAGGGTGCTTATTATCACCAATGATATTCCTAATTGTGGTGGACTGGATTATGCGTCAGACAGTGGGAAACGAGAAGACAGGGATATCCTGGACCGAAGTGAAGAACCTAGAAGACCTGGATTTCGCGGATGATTTATGTTTGATGTCACACAAAATCGAAGACTTACAAGCGAAAACCAACAAACTGGTCGAAGAAGCAGCAAAGACAGGACTCCAGGTGAACATAGACAAGACGGAGGTTATGAAAATAACCAACCAACAACAACAACAACAGCAGCAGCAACATCCAGCGCCAATCACCATCAACAGGAGGGATTTGAAAGAGGTTACTTCTTTTACTTATCTAGGGAACATTGTCTCAACTACAGGAGGAACGGACGAGGATGTCAAATCGAGAATCGGGAAGGCGAGAAACACATTCATCAACCTGAAATCAACTAATCTGGAAATCTTCGTCACTCAGCATCAACAACAAAATTCGGACTTTCAATACAAACGTCAAGTCAGTTTTGCTGTACGGATCAGAAACTTGGCGGGTCACAAAGAATATTTCCAACAGCCTGTTACAGACCTTTATTAACAACTGTCTTCGTTCTATACTGAAGATCAGATGGCCGAAAGGAATCACAAACAAGAAGCTATGGGAACAAACGAAACAAGAACCAATCGCCAACCAACAAATATGCAGGAGAAAGTGGAGATGGATTGGACACTGGCTGAAGAGGCCGCTGAGTGACATCGCGCGTCGGGCCAACGCTCGAGTGGAAACCGAAAAGGGAAGCGGCTAGTGGGACTTCCAAGGGTGATATGGAGGAGATCGTGTGAAGAAGAGTTGAAACAGTATGGACTAACATGGACGCAAGTGAAAAGTACAGCAGGAGACAGAAGCAAGTGGAGAAGTGTAGTTGAAGCCCTATGTTCCACTAGGAACCCAAGGGAATAATAATAATAGTGCAATCCAGGACGCAGATTTTCTTACACCAGGAACTCATTAGCTGGATGTCCGTAAATTTCCAGTGAGCGATAGTGATTCCACTATTACTCGAACCCACTACTAAAATTTGGGAACTTAAAACAGTTATGTACTGTGCCAGAAGAGCTATCTCTTGGTATTTTCCCTCCAATAAAGTTTAATCAGTGGGAAATTCAAAACAATTAAATTAAAAGGATGAAATCTAGCCATTGCGAAAGAGGTAGGACGAAACAGCTGTCCAGTACTGCCAGGTTTTCCAGTGGTCCTCTAACTGATGTCAGCTCATGATAAAATCCTCCATGGAATCAAAGAGGTAGCTGTCATAACCCACTGAATAACAGTTTGAAGATTCAAATGATCGGTGGTATTTTCGAGTCATAGTGAGAACACTATCACTCAGTGAAGATTCAAGCGCATCCAGATGACGAGTTCACATGAGAGAAAATGAATTTCTGGGATTCAACCGCCAGACACCAGCTACCAAGAAATATATTTGATCACTAGCTGACATCAGCTACTGAACCGTTTGAAGACCCAGTGGGGTATTGACTAGACAGCTATTTAGTCCTAATTTGGACCAAGGACCTCCCGGTCACAAGACAAGCTTCTGAAACCCGATCCACTTGTTCAAGAAATTCAACTTCTGCCGTTTCACGATTTTTGCGGTGTGATCACCAGTCCTTGTCATGAGCGAATAACCGGCCTTTTGTCAGACTCTGCCGGACCCAGATGGTAACATTTCTAGCTACAACTCCACGTAAGCTGTTGTATACAGTTAGTAACTAGTGAGCATCAGACTACTTTCAAATGTTGATTTATTGGTATCTGATTGGCTACAAGTGTGATCATGATCAGACATGAATTAGGGAACCATTAGAAAACCAGAGAGTCCCTGACAGATGAGACTGGATTCCATTGGTCATTGCATCGGCTCCCATCAGCTGAATGGCCTACGAGCTTACGTTGCGGCCGGAAGGTCCTGGGTTCAAACCTCACGGGGCACGTGCTGATGAAGAGTTCCAAACTAGTGGAAGCAGCTTTCCAGTCAGTACTTCCTAATCTCCTAATGGTTCTCTGAAACTGATCTCAGCTAGAGATCAAGCTTGCAACCAATCAAATCAAGTACCGCCTCAAAATTCAAAGTAATATCTTGGACAAACACTTGTAAACTTTGATCCACTAGTATTTATCTCAATTTCTTTTGATTATCTTCGTTTTTATAACTACCACTTGAATGTAATCCTCGTATTCATAAATGAATGTAATTGGATGATTCATAAGCTATTTAAGCAATGCAACGAAAGGAAATGCTTTTTCAACTAGTTGATAACAAGTATTTTCATGGTTTCACCCAAAAACGTGTCCACTAACCTGAATTTTCCAACTCTTCTTAGATATGAAAACATTTCCCCGCCACTAACAAATTCAAGTACCATGTATAAATTGGAATTATCCTTTGAAGTAACAAAATTTTAGAAGAAAGAAAACACATTTTATTCAGACAGAGAATTCAATGGTAAATCTCACAAAAAAAAATCAGCTAGTTATCCAAGGAGAATAAATATTTCGCTAAGTTTACGTGTTGCTTAGTCACCTCAAAATACACTATTTACAGCCTACTGACCACCAGGTGGTGCGTGAATTACCATCCAACCACAGTAGTCAAAGTTCAACAGATAATATGATGGGAATTCACGACATAGTGCAAAAATTATCCATTGGTATAAATCACTTACTGTCTTCACATAGTATCTAACTTGTTGAAACCAGTGTTTGGTGAAAAACATACTGTTATCGCATGTATTTCGAGTTCCAATCCTACTCCAGCTGCTTCGGATTGGGAAACTGGATAGCATCATCAGCCCTCACACCAAATATGTGTGATATATACACGTTCACATGAAGATGTCTAATCAAGGCTTTCTGATTTCTAACAATATTCAGATAGCAAGATGTTGTACTAACTAATTCCTGAGTTGTATTTGTGAGTGTAGTCCAATTTATGTATATACGCATAAGTTATTCATTAATAGTGACCTTTAAAATACCAGCAAGATAGACGTATTCAGTCAGTTTTTTTCTCTACCTGGCGCTATAAGCGGTTTACTGTCATCAGATTATATTCATTCAGCATCAGTCCGAGCAGAAGGTTAATGAATTTTGAAATGAAATTGGGGATTTAAATGGGATTATATATATAGTCCTTCATACTACTTATTATATGTTTCACAGGTTCAATGGCAGACGTGGTTCGGTTTTGATTCCAAGCCAACGCACTCCTAAACCTCGCTCAGCCGGTAGTAAGCCAGGTGAAGAGGGAAGGCTGGGCTTGAGGCAAGCAACCACATGCCACGAAAACAACACCAGAACACAAACTGCAGAAAAGCTTGAAGACCTTTGTTCCATTTGGAGCGCAAAGAAATGAAAGCACTACTTGATATAGCAAAAAGAAATCAGGAATTCTTTTAGTAGTGCATTGTCTTTAAAATGAATTATTCTATCATCCTGTCCTAAACTTGGGTGCAAATAACGTAATACAACTCAGGTAAACTACCCCCAGATGGCCCTAACAACCAATCATATTCTTCTTTGCGAGATAAGTATAGTACATACCGATGAAAAGAGAGCTTACTCTCAGCTATCTTCTGTGGATTATGTGCATCAAATAACAAACGACTAATTCCATTTCGTAGATCTCTTTAATGGGACTCACGTAAACTGATTTTTTTATTTTTACTTGTGATAACAATTCTTTTAAACAACTACTATCTTTTCTTTCTGTGACAATTATGGTTGGCAGTTCGAAGTCACCAGGTCATAAATGATCTTGTACACCTGAAAGTGAGTGACATGTTCAGGTCGATGGTAACTATGAATGATTCAGCTCCTACGGCTGCTCTATTGCCTTTGTGGGTCAGATTAGAAATCAAAAGATGGAGAAGTGGTTTTGGTCTAGAGTGTCTGGAAAGTGTCTCAGCCCCCACAGAAAGTATGATGCATCTCCTGGTGTCCACAAAGTATGAAGCTTGTGCTCAAATAATTCAGTAAATAAAATGAATATTACCGTCTACTGTAACATATATTACCTACAGCTACTCAAATAAGAGCCAATGTAGTAAAGAGGGAAGAGATACTCACTTTAAAGCTGAAATCCATTCGAACAAGAAATGGAAAATTGATTGCCTGTAAAATCTTCTTTTCATTCAATGTATGTTCAATCTGTTTTAATTTGACCACCTTAAACAAATATAAGAAAAATAATTAATACAAAATAAATCTGTCAATAGAAAAAGTCACATGATGCTGCATGTATTTTGTTCTACTTCTATGACTAAACACTAGTTCATTACTATTCAAGCCATTTATTTTAAAAATCAGGAAACTCAACAACAAGTTGGTTTGACTGTTAGTTCAAGTATGTTACTATTATGACATTCATAGTATTGTAGTTAACATTCTCGTGTGAAGAGTTATATCCAAAAAAAAATAATAAGCTTACCATATGAAAGGGATTCATTCTTAAAGAAACCACTAAAGACTTACTTCAAGTAGGACAAAATCTCTATATTCCAGCAATCAGTCTACTTTGTGTTAATCTGAAGTGAACATTTCACAGATTTTCACAGCTCATTTTAATTGAGCACAAAATGAAACCTAATTTGTTCCTTATTGAAGAAAAGATGAATGAATGCCTCAGGTGACAGAGTTACTTAACTGTCGGTGACAAACACTGGGATCCTGATTGTGGGTTTCGTCCCCTCCTAGAATCTTTAGTAGATGTATCTGCATCCTCAATGAGTGTTTCTCTTCCCACCATGCCGGAACCCAGAATCCATTGTGCCGAACATCAAGGCGTTGTCTCCTGGGTAGTTGGGTCATGAGAACCATCTTTCATGCAGCAGGTATCGGATGATTTTGAAATTTTTCCAATATTTCTTATCGATTCATCAAAATGGAGCTGAATGTTAAATCTCTGGTGACAAACAAGCAACATTATGTTTATCTTAATGCAGCGCCAAAGTGTTTGTGTCAGGTGTCGACATATCAAAAGAGACTGGAAATTTCAATCCAATACAAGAGTTAAACTAACAAGAAATATCAAATAACACAGAACAGAGTTGCCATTCAGTTTAAATGTGCTCTTAATTGTTATCATTAGTTGATGAGACCTGATAAGTTGCATGCTTAAATTGAAACCTTCTAGCCCAAATACATAATTCTAGGATAACACAAATTTTTGTTTAGTTGTAACGGTAGAAGATGAGAGATTTGGTGAGTATCGATTACTTGGAATCTGGTATCTGTATATAGTGAAGTTATGTATACCTTATCTTCAAATCACCATTTGCACAGATTTTCCATGTTGTGCTACTTCTTGCCTTCATATTGATATGATTATGAGCAATAGTTTGTGCTCGAAACGTTGTCATCGGTTAATATTACTGTATAACACTGTGTGACACTTTATCAAAATAAAATCTTATCCATTATGGAACCTTTTCTAATGACTTCACGCTGTCAGACAGCTGATCCATGAGACCCTACCCTTGAGCAAATCGTTACTTCACAGCAATTATCACGGGTAACACCTACTTATGTTGAATTAGAACGGCAGAGTAAGGCTGTTAATAGTTAATCTGATTACCAGTGAAGATACCTGACCAACATAAAAGCCAGAAATCACCATCATCGGGAGAATTATGAATGAATTCGCTTTTATCACTTATGCGTCGTTTTAACTATGGGCATTAAGAACCAAGATTCTAAAGTCAGGATATGGAAAGCAAAACAGACCTTCATGGTTCTGAAATCACCGCGGGAATCTCAGCATAAGGAATACGGTTCGGATTGCTGTCACTAGTGTCAAGTTAGTCAGTCCTTTTACATGGTTCAGAGAGTCATGAAAACATTTCCAAAAGGTTTCAGACTGCCATCAACAGCTGCGCTCATTCCATTATTAAGGTCAGATGCTAAGAAAGGATTGGCAAAATCGAAACCAGAGAATGAACCAGCCAAGTAATCACAGCTCAAAAGATACGCTAAAACAAATGGATATGGACCAAATTGAGGGGACTGTTGAGTGAAATCATACATCAGGCATGTCCTCAGGTGGAATCCGAAGAGGTAGGCATGGAGCCGAATGTGACAAACATACGATTATAAGGGGAGCAGGCGGAAGCTCACGAACAATCTTGAAGCCAGCTAAAGATGACTCCAGACAACAGAATGAAATGAAGATATGCTGCTGAAGCCATATGTTCCCCTCAGAACATAAGGGAATGATAATAATGATAATCTGATCACTGTGAAGTCTCACTCTGTTATCGTTCAAAAAATCTCCGACTAACAGTTCGTTTCGAGAAACGTTGTTTAAGCCCTTTGAGTGCTGTTTTATTTACTGAAACAATATTTTATCAGTAATTAGAACTGTAAATATCAAGACTGACTGATTATCTTAAAATTATTAAAAACAATTCCAGCGTGTTTTAAAAATCACAAATAAAACTTTGAACTGCATAAATCATCGCTTGCTTACCAAACTTACACGAATTTAACTAAACACCAAAATGTACATGATCAAATAGTACGTAAAATAAGGGGAACTTGGATCAAAGATCACTTGTGTAGGTGAATACGTATGGTTTTGGTATACGACATGTTCTTAGGCTAGTCAATCAAGCTTTCTCAAGTTTTCTAGTTGTATTCAATCCGACGCGACACTGTTTACTTAAATAATCAATAAAATGAGGTTTTTGGAATAACGCTGTGAAGGCAAAAATTAGCCGGCGAAATGCTACAAAAGCTGACTCAAAAACCCCAAAAAATAGACTTGTGCACATATTCAAGCCAGCTCCATTGGTTTTCCACTTAACACAAGTAAAGAATTCTGATTTCGCATTTTGTGGTGTCTGCAGTTAGATCTAATCTGTAAATTCCTTTTGCATGATGTAATCGGAATATTTATACTTTTTCAGACGCTTCAACTAACTCTGCAATTATTATTCCTCATTCCCATTAACTGTATAGCACTATCTTGACACTTACAATTCACATGTTCATTTTATCCACACATTACACATCTTTCTTCTTCCTCTTCTTCAACCTCTAATCTCAATGCTTCTCTTTGTGGTTGTGTGTACATTGACAATGTGTCGTTTTACGACGTGATTTTGTTTGAGTGAGTGAGTGAGTGGAGGTCGTTTGTGACATTGTACTGCATTTGATAAGCGTTGGTGCGTCATTCACAATGGACAGAGTATCTGACCCCACCCTGTAGGGAACATTCTACTTGTACTCAGACTGACTGTATAGCTGGCTAACCACACTCTTGACGGGATTTTGAGTTTTCCTGATTAAAACGTGGGCTACCAAAAAACCCCCATTACCATATTGCATATATTTTCTGTGATTCAGTTTATTTAAATCTGTGAAAAATTGAGCTCCAATAGTATTATTCACTCTGGCGAGTATTTACAATACTTACAACCTGCTGATTTACAAATTTCCGCTAAGCATATGAAAAAGCATTATCCTCAATGGCAGTTTATCCCAATACATGCGAACTGTTCCTGAGTGAAGTCCTTGGCTCACAAAGTGTGCTCCTGAACTTTTAATAATTGGTATTCAACAAACTGTAGTGTATTTCTCGAAGAAGAAAAAGAAGGGGTATCATAACAGATTCGTCCGCTCTTTGGGAAAGATAGAACTGTGTCACGCGATCTACAGTCAATTATTCTTTTGTTTGAAGATGCTGAATGAACAGAAGATATCATGTAATAAACTCTGCTGAAAATTCTCTACAATATGCACACGCTCTTCAGAATAAATCTATTATTATTAGTGGAACCTCAGAATTATTCCAGAGTAATCGTCTTTTTACTGTCATTGAAAAGTTTCTTGATTGTATGTGTTTTATCGGAGTTTTGCCGGCAATACAGTATAACGCAAAAATTGGTTTCCTGCATCGAAAAAACAACACCTCGGTTTTGATCACTACAAAGCCTTCAAAAAGTCTAAGAGATACAAAAAGTTGTGTGATAGGGTGATAAATACAGAACGCAGCCTTTCTACGATTACAGGTTTATGCCATGCAAATATGGGGTAAATATATTTACAGGTATGTAACATACATTCTAATTATTTTAAAAGAATTAATTGACGCTTTTTCTTCCTTTAACTTCCCAACAGTAGGATCTTTTTTCATTCATACACTTAGTTTGTGTTAAAACAAACTATACACTGTGGAAAACCAAATTTGTTTTGTGATAAGAATCACAACTTCTTTTAAAGTAGACTGGGGCCTTAGGAGCAAATAAATAAGTATGAAGAAATTTACTTTGAACTCAACAACTGCAAATTATTAGCATGACAAATGTCTGGAGGTGAAAACACAAACCCAAGGAAGTATAACATTAATTCTAGAAAAGAAAATACTTATTATACGATCAAAGGAAGAAATGTTAAAAAGTGGAATAGTCAGTTAATTTTTTTGTCTAAGGCATAAAAAAAATGAACAGTCATGGGATTGTCAGACGTTAAAAACTAAACAATGTACTTTATGCTTAATAATTAACAAAAACTAATGTTTTCTGAAGGGCTGAAACATAATCACTGAAATGGCAGATCATGTGATGAATATTACGAATAACCAGAATATATTTAAGGAAAGTTTATGGAATGGCAAAATAACTAGTGATAAAAATAATAATACTGGTGGTAATTGAAAGTAAGATTATCTGATACAGTCTGAGATTTGGAAATGAATCTTCACCTCATGGCTGAACATTCAGGCATTGGTTATAATGATTGAAGTACAGTGATGATCTGGTTAACCGTTGAGTTTCGTTAGTCAGCTGAAATAGTAATTCGGTGGTTGTGGGTTCGAATCCTGTGGTTATCCAGATTTTTATTTCGCTCTCGAATATTACCCCTTAACATTAATTGTAACGGGATATTAGTTTGACAAACCCAATACTGATACTCATTTGGATAGTTCAATTAACTTTGTACGTATGATGCTTTTTCTCTTAGACTGTATATCAATTCTGTGACGTTTGCATATCATCTGTTGATTCAGTCCTTATAATTTGTCTTTGTCCCTCCTGTTTAATCTCTAATTTCGATGCATCTTTCTTTGTGATCGTCTGATGATATTGATAATGTGTTGTTTTACGACTGCTATTCGCTTGAGTGAGTCAGGGTCATTTTGACCTCTGGACGTGTGCAGGAATGATTCGCTGCGTGATTCTCGCTGAGGGAATTTTGATCCCACTCAGTCGGGAGCATTCTGCTTGATTCTGAGGTACTTTTATGGTTGATTTCGGTCAAATAATTTTGTTCTACAGTACTTGCTTTGTAGCTGAGGGTAAATTTCATCTATATAGCTGCCTAATGGAATTTTGATGTAATTTTGACTATTATTGTTAAATAGCACCAGAGATTTTATTACAAATTACTCTCTTTTTGCTGTTGTTGGAGCATTTTGTTACTGTCAGTAACTCAAAGAAGTTTTGGTCAGCTGTGCAGGATAACGCAAAGATCGGTTGCCTGTGTTCAGACCACAGCACATCAGTTTTGGCTGCTACATCAGTAACAGTCTACCTGACCAAGACTACCTGAGACAGTTCCATCATCAAATACTATTAATAATATTAACAGTAGTCCCATAGTACTGTTATTATTTTCATCCATACTACAAGTTATTTAGCCATTCCTTAAATTTACATTACACGTATTCTGGTTATCTGTGGCATTCATCGTATGGCCTGCTATTTTATTGATTGTGGTTCGACATTTAAAATTTCTGATTCTGTTATAGTTATTGATCACTAAGTAAGTTCAGTGCAGTTTTCAATGTCTGATGTTTTTCGCGACTGTTCAGTTTTTTATGCATTTGAATAATAGCTTCTCTTTTGGACAAAAAATAACCAATCTGACTGCCATTCCGTCTATTAACACTTCTTCTGTGGAGCGTCTAGCACGATTTTTGTTTCTATAGCATTAATGTTCGGTTAGTGTTTTGCAGCTCCAAACATTTGTCAAGGTATAACGTAGTTGTTGAGACTAAAATAAACTTTTTTAAAATTATTTATTTATTCATAAGGCTTAATTCACGTTAAAAGAATTTAATTATTCAGTAGGAAGTAGGAATTCTCAGTAAAAATAAAGGAACTTGCCTTCAATATCTCAGATTTTTTTCCAACAAAATTTGAGTAAATGAATGATAAAAGAAACTTTTATTGAAAGATTAAAGGAACACAAAATATCAAACGACTCATTCGAAATTACTAGAATGTTTATTCCGTATCCGTAGTTTTGTCTAATATTTGACTGACATTACGCTGTATTCTTAACAAGATCTACATTTCACAGATATCGCGAACCTCTGGTGAATTATACAAGGCACGTTTCGTCAGATGAATATTCTTACTGCCTGTTGATTGATTATATTCCCATACACCTACCATTTCGAAAATCACAGTGTTACCTACTAGGTCTGAAGCGTCATCATTTCAATATGATTTGGAAAAATTTATTCAATTTGCTGATTTCCGTCTGATCAGCCACAATTTAGGTATATGGTCTCCTTGAACGGATGCCTTGATATTACCAATTTTAATAACCCAAAGTTTGTGGGTGGCTGTCAGTGGTATTGTTATTATTCACTTGGGTTAGGAGTGGAATATAGGGCTTTAAAAGCACTTTGGATTCCACTCGAAGGTAGGCCTAATGCGTGACATCACTCAGCACTCGTCTCAGAATGCCTCCGATTTATCTCCATTCCCCCTGAAATATTTGTTGGACGACATGTTCATGGTTGATTTGATGCCTAATTTCCCTGTTGATAATCCTCTTTGGCAATCTCATCTTCATTATGTAGCGAAAGCGAGGATTGTTGAATAGTGTCTTCAGTAGCCAGTTCGAAATGCTTCTTGTGACGTGCACGCCAAATGCAGCCATGAATATCATAGGCCTGTTGGATTGATTCACGACCGTAAACAAGTAACTTTGTAGTTATAAATCCTGGATATGTAGTGACATCAATTTAAGGAGCCCACACGTCGAAATGTGACTTAGGAAATCGATACTAACAAATCAACGGGAAATCACAGGCGTGAATAAACAGGAAAACCACTTGTATATTTTCTAACTAACAATTTTTTGGAAAAGTACAGTTTGCACTGACTCAGTTTTCTCTGTGATTCTCTACTCTGGTGGCTGTAAATTGAAAACAACAATCATTCTCATGTGTACAGCTTTCATAACTGTAATTTTCTTATTTGATACCATAGCAATAGATTGGTCTGAGACAAACATGGTGTTATGAATAGGTAACGTATGCTTTGAAAAAGATGATATAACAGTTTCGTATTAAATAAGTTTCTTGAAATAACAAACAGTGATACAGTGTTAATAACTGGGTGACGTTTCAAGTGCAATTTATTGCTTATAATTGTGTCATGGTATTCTCATAACCTCCTAAGTGGCTTTACACAACCTCATTCCCTCCTGTTTCTTATTGCATTTTTCCGTATATTAGGAGTGTATTTTGTATTTTATTTAGTGTTGACTCAATGAACAACGATTCGTTGATTAACCTGTCTTACCAACTAAATAATTATCAAATCTTTATTCACCTAGTTAACACCAAATACACGTAGTCTAAATGAAACAACACCTATCCTGAATATTTGGAAAATTGCAGTAACAAAAAAGGAAGGAGTGCGGCTATGTAAAGCCAGTTAGGAAGTCTGGTGAAGATATTGATTTCCTCTGGTCATTACCACTGTATCACTCTGCATTGTATCAAATAAACTTATAAAATATAGAATTTTATTCTATCACAGTGCCTAAATTCTATACTAATATTAATACTGTAATAATTTTATAAATCGTCTCCGAAATATTTATGATCAAAAAAAAATTTGGAGGTACAACCAACATACGAAATGTAAATGCATACCTTTTGTTTTTCTAAAATCTTCATTGCATAATAGATTTGCGTCTTTTTATCCTTGACCAGCATTACACGTCCAAATGATCCTGTACCCAATGTTTTTAAACGATCAAATTGATTCAGTGTTGCGTTATTCTTGAAAACAATCCCACCCAGCACAAAATGGTCGACGAATGTAAGGAGAAGAAAAATAGTGTAGGTACAATAATGTTATTAAAACAATATTTAATAATAGGAAGAGCTTTATTTTTAAAGAATCAGGTAACATTAAATACTAAATGTTACACAGTTCGTAACTGCCTCGTTTTATTCTAGCTATCAGCCACCAATGATATTGGTTAGCGGTAGCAATATACATCGCGAATTAGCAGAATTTAGAGTTCTGTCCAAGAGACTAAATGGTAGGTGGACTCGCTTTGCAACCGAAACGTCTGAGGTTCGACCAGCAGTGGGGTCGTGGTTACAAACTGGTGAATATTCACAAATTAGGACGAAACAGTTGCACAGCACTCCCTAGTTTTCTATGGCTCTGCAACTGAAATCAATCTGCGATCAAAACTTGGAATCAGTCGAATCTCTGCAAATCACTGAAATTACCACCTCTAGTCTGTTCTTTTCAGCAAACTTTAGGGACAAAATCACAATATAAGAAGATATATATATATGATTTTCACATCAGAAAAAAAAACATTTGTAAAAAATTAGGATAATATCAACTTATTTAGAAGTCTGAAGTCACTGAATCTATCTCAAACAATTCATCTAGTTAAAATTGTCCGGAATCTTCTTATTTTAAGTCTAGAACAACAACGACAGCTTGGCAGTTAAACCATTTAGCTCAGAGAATATAAAAAGGACAATACAAAACATCTGCTTACTTAACAAATATTCTCCACTATTTTTATGTATACATGATTTTAAAGCTATATATTTATCTTGTGACATCAAGTGACAAAATCAGTGAAAATCGGATTACTTTAGGCATTTTAGAACCTTATAGCTGGGTCCATAATCAATGATTATTGATTTCAAATTTATGTAAGTAGGTATATATGTTGGTGTCCTGCATAAGATTTTTTTTCATTCCTTTAAGTTCCAAGTGGAGCACACTGCTTCAAGCTTGAGCTTCGAAGTTTCGGGAGAAGTAGTGTTGGGGTTGCCGACTTCACGCCCAACCTTCCCCCTTTATCGTGCTTACAACCGACGGAGGGAGGTAAAAGTTTGCACCGCCCGAGGGTCGAACCCCGGACCACGCGTTTGGCTGGCAAGCACCCTGCTGCTGAATCACTGACAACCCTAGACCCGTTTAATTTAAATTTATAGGTTTGTATGATGGAGAATGAAAATACACTCATTTATTCATGATTTGATCGATTTTAAGGATGGATTCTGTGACGAACAGATATCTGTCTGGACATACTTTTGAAACTGATAGAAAAATGAAGTAACTACCTTGTTCTAAATATGATTAATGAAGCAAACAAGTCGAATCTAATATCTACTAGCAGTGAAGTAACTGTCTAACTGTCTACATTCATTTGAAATAACTATGGATCGTTAGCAGATTTAGTGATATTATATATATATATATTTTGGTCTATAAAGATCTACAATATACTGGATATCCATTACCTATTTCCCTTACTAGTTGTATATCAAAATAAGCGCCAAATTGTTTTATGGATCATCATTATTATCAACATCACATGTCTTCTCATCATATCTAATTGATCTGTAGTTTAACCTTATATACCATATGAATAGATACATTTATATATGGATATAAGTAAATGTATATAGGTTTATTGATTTAAAATGGGTAATATGACATCTATAGAATTTTGTGCTAAATACTTAGTATGATCAGTGTTAAATGAAAAAGAGACGACAGCTGTTTGTGTCCTTATACAAAGAGCAGAGTATGTTCTGTTTATTAATGGATAGATGCACTTCAATTGTATACCTTTAGAAGCCACAAAACGCCGATTTTAATAGTAATGTACTACTACTACTACTAGTAATAGTAAAAGTAGTAGCGCTTATATTCCATTTTCGGTTCGTAAGTTGCTATTTTTTGGATTTTCATAACGGAAAACTTGGTATGAGTGACATTTTTTGGTGTTTTTTCTAAGAGAAATCGAGATTATAAGTCTGATAAAGATATATATATATATACATGTATACTACTGATAATCAGGTAGGTATCCAATGAAATAAAATACAACGGTTACAGATTTGCATTTGTGATAATGTTGAATGACCATAGTAGGTGACGAGGTGGGGGGGATGAGGAAACACCAGCATCATCACCTCATTTGTTTATATAATAAAATATTCCTTGTTTAACTGGTTTCATGTGTGTTGCTGGGAGCGAAATTCAAACAAACTGTCACGGTGATATGTATAAAAGACATTTTAGTTACGCACTTTATAATATTGATTTGCACTATTTTTCATTTTGTACAATAAAATAGAAAACAAAGAGTGAAGAGATGCAGGTTAGTGGTTTAAGTGTGCTAAATATTTGACGACGAAATGGAAGTTTCATACAAGAGGGACAGATAGATGATGTCTTGAACTAGATGGAAAATTCGATGTATAACATGCTGGTAATTTACACATTCACCTTTTTTACTTTTCTCTTCAGATTTGATTTTCAAGAACATTAAAAGAACTGGTTTGTCAGTGCTTTGGTAGAACATAATTTTGTGAATTGAATCAAATGAGGAAAAAAGGCAAAGGGAAGAAATCAGCACACTGTAAAACCCTATTTTCCATAATACCCGATATTGCGCTTTTGAACAGAAAAGGACTGAAGACAGCAAAGTGATTTACCTGTAGCATTACAATTTACAATGATTTAAGACAAAATATCGGAAACATTGCATTGATTCATTCATCTGCGAATTGTACTTTGAGATTATTCTCCGTTATTTCCGGTTGGGCAAGAATGTTCGGTCTTTTCTAAGTCCTGAACTCTGCATACAGAAGAAGTTCGTTCAATCACTAAACTTGCAATGGACGTAATCTATCTTATTAGCTGACATGTAAATTCTACCTAATCTTTTTTTCTGTTTCTTCATTAGTATTATTTTGTCTTCTCAATTGTAACATTTTACATTTTCAACTTTCTTGTTCTCTACCCCCACCTGATTCAATCTCTACACCCCACTACCACTGTTACTGACTTGAACAACGCTCAGTTTCTAGTTATTCATGTTACGTCATCCAACTTATTCACTCGATTTCACTTCTACTTAATCTCTACCTGTAATTACCTCTGTTGCTATCCTGACCTAAGTTGTAACATTTTAGCCAATTATATTACGTCATCTAGTTTTTTAACTCAGTCTTACTTTAGTTGCTGTCTGATTAACTTTGTCTCTATACTACATCATTCTTGTATTAACTAATCAATTATCTAAACTTGACAAACCTCATGTACACACACACACAAATATTTATATATAAATGCGATTGTACAGCTATGTGAATGAATTCGCCGAAAAGAGTCTCTTCGCTGAATGTCTTCTCCTTTTCTAAAATGTTGAATCCTTGTTCGTACACTACAACAATACCTTTGGATTAACATAATATTAGCAGTGGAATTCAGGATTTGTATTTCGTCTTTTTCGGGACTTGTCATCTGGACTTATGCGCAATCCTAGTGCGTGATGCTATTTCCACTGAAATTCAAACCCATCCATTTAGAGGCAAGGCGGAGTGGTTAAACCGTAGCTATTATAAACCAGGATGTTATCAGAGACACAGAATTTCATTCCAATACAAAGCAATCAACAAGAAATAATAAATAAAAGCATACGCTATGAGCCATGTGGCCCAGTGGATAACGTCTTTGGAGCTTGCAGCTGTAGGTGCCGTGTCCATACTTCAAAAAGTGAAAATGATCACTCATTGGAGATGGAGGTACATGCAACCGATACGTTTGAAACAAGATGGTATGTTATCCTGTATTCTACTGCTAACTTCAAAAAATAACTGAATGAAATACAGATCTTAGTTTGATGTTAAATTAAAATCAACCCAAATTCATGTTCACACGCAGAATATGTAGTCAATCTTTGCTTAGCGAAACTAACATTTTTATCAGGTGTTAATTTGCAGGAATTTGATTAGTTTTACGTCTCATCACAAGCTAATATCAGTTAGGGAACGATTGGAAAACCAGAGAGTAACGACTGGACACCTGTTTCGTCCTACTTGTAACCCAGAACATCCCGTTCACAAGGCACACTCGTAGACCACTCAGCCAATGTGACCCGATCCACTTGTCTAAGAAATCCAACTTCTGACAATTCGTAACATTTATAGCGCTACTCACAGTTAATGTAATGGGCGAGTAACTTTATTTTTGCCAGATTTGGTGGACCCCGTTGGTTAAGACTTATTTTTAAAACTCCAGGAAACTGCCTGAATAGAGTCAGTCACTAGTGAATATCAGATGAATTACCAAGTGTTAATTTGATTGGTCACAAAGGCCCATGGAGACAGGTAAGACACAAACTACCCACCTATAATATTGGCTGGAGGAAGTTGGAACTACTGAGTCACTTAATTGTGTCGCAGTGACTGAATAGTCTACGAGTTCACCTTGTAATTGGAAGGTCCTTGTTTCGAAGCCCAGTTGGTGTACACAGCTGGAGTGTCCTAAACTACAACAAAACACCTATCCAGTAATTCCAAATTTCACAGTGCTTCTCTAACTGATGTCAACTCATGTTCAAACCTGTAACTACCGTTTGAATTACAATTTCCTGAAACATGCATGAATTATACACATATATCTGTTTACAGAATAGTGGAGAATGTAAACAAGGAATATGTTAATAAAACAAGCCTTCCGTTTAGCACAACAGAACAAAGATCATAAAATGTAGAGAGTGACTTTAAGCGAAGACGGATTTATTTCTGACTCTTTCAAAATAACCAACTCACTTGCACTGGATGCGTCCATTTTTCTTCGAATATTCGTGATTCTTTTTCAAGGTAATCACTGACTACAAAAAGAAGGAAATCAAAGAGTAAAGAAATAACTGAATGTAGAGAGTGTTAGTTTATTATTATTATATGAGTTACTACAATTGATTTTAAAAATCTTTTTGTTATAAAGAAAGCATATGTAGTGATCAAAACTTATTCTACATGGTCTGAACACGAAAAAAAGCGATCTCTGAGTTTCGCCGTATAGCTAGCTGGCTGAACTTTCTTGAAACACGTGCAATCAATAAATGTTTTAAAGATAAGAAAAAGACGATTACTCTGGAATAGTTCTGCGGTCCCACTATTCCATAATAACATCGAAAAAAACAACAACTCAAAATCATGTCAGGAGTATGGTTAGCCAGCTATACAGTCAGTCTGAGTACAAGTAGAATGTTCCTAACAGGGTGGGGTCAGATACTCTGTCCATTGTGAATGACGCACCAACGCTTCTCAAACGCAGTACAATGTCACAAACGACCTTCACTCACTCATTCACTCAAACAAAATCACATCGTAAAACGACACATTGTCAATGTACACACAACCACAAAGAGAAGCATTGAGATTAGAGGTTGAAGAAGAAGAGGAAGAAAGATGTGTAATGTGTGGATAAAATTAACATGTGAATTGTAAGTGTCAAGATAATGATATACAATTAATGGGAATGAGGAATAATAATTGCAGAGTTAGTTGAAGCGTCTATATAAGTACAAATACTGCGAATAGATCAACCAATTTCCAATGAAACATTGTGTTACAATCCAACCACGTATGACTTTTAATTTTGTGTGTTTATAGTGAAGAGTAGTCATTGAACCTTAATCGGGGGTGAACTCTAATAGTCATGATTTTTCCGTAAAATATTGATTTGAGGGATATTTCTTGCTAGGGATTTTTGCTAATTTTGGTGTAGCTTATGACACTAATTTAAGTGTGATAGGAAAGTTACCCTGAAATATTTTTATACACATACTGAAGTCAAGTTTTGTTCATCATGACTCATCAAGTATGAATTTCAGAGTGTAGACCGATGGCTTATTTAGGAAGAATAATGGCTTCAGAGTCGTTTCTTAATATCTGCTGAACTTTGTTTTCTTAGACACACAGATGATCAGTATTTCACTTCACTAATAAACTGAGCAAAGTCGATTTACCATTACTCACTGCATTTCAAGGTACATACACCTGGCGAGTGTCAAAGAGGACAAAACACGTGTCTTATATTCCACTACTGGAAGCTGCTAACTGATTAGTGCTACTTAAGTGTACCGAAAAGTCTAAAGTTATATATTATGAAGTTCGAAGAATGTTGCTGTTGTTATAGAAATAAACAATTAAAAATTACATATAACTAAAAAAGAACCACATATTCAGATGAGTACACGACAACAAAAACTGTTAACATAAATTAAAAAAATCATCCATAAAGCCATGAATTATGGACACATAATCTAAGGGTTTGAAGCCTTACAATATCTCTTACTGTTATTTTTTAGTGAGATTTACTAAAATAACATTGAAAATCCAGTGCAGACAGTTTTATAATAGCCTCTACACATTATTACTGCCTTGAACTCTGTCTTTCTATATTTACCTGTGACTTGTAACTCAACTTTTATGATGAATTCAAGAACATGTCCAGATGGGGTAACCATTTTAGCACTTGGTAATCCGAGGGAAATCACTTGGTAAATCTGTATAATTGTCGAGTGTTGGATTGCAGAGACTCATTTGATTTCAAGTGACATCAGTTAGAAAACCCGTTGGCCATCTATTCTCGTAACCTCGGGGTCCTGAGTTTCAGTATTATGTCATGGATATGTACCGTTCAGAAGTAAGAAACTAAGATGACACTGTTATTTAGTACTCTGTGTTTTCGAGATGTTTTTAAACTCAGATCAGTTCGTGATCCAACTTCAAAAAATATATATGATATTAAAAGGAAGTGAGATAGAAATTTCTCATAATTTATTGTCGAACATAAAGGTGTTTTGATATCATTTTCTGGAAATAAACATACAGTATGCTTTTGTGTTTTGAGTCATTCACTTTGAAATCACCACACCTAAATGAACATTGATTTATGGTTTATTCTTCAAAATGTTGGCATTTTTTGTGTCATGATGGGGTTAGTCATATTGAACATTTTGAGAGGGACTTCAGTATGTCTCACCCACAAACTGAGTTCACATACGAAACAGAAAAAGGTAATACCTTTTTTTCTTTGTGTCCTGTTAGCAAGGAGGCAAGGCAGAGTACTGAACGGAATATTTCCAGGAAAAATCACAGGTTGACCAGTACTTCCATTTCCAGTCGTTTATTCCTCATGTATGCAAATGTAATCTTATCAATACCCTAATGTTTCGTGCTAGAAAAATCTGAACGAACAACACTCTTTACGATGAAATAAGAAAAACAGAAAACGTGTTATATGAGAACGGAAATCCAGAAAAATTTGCTAAATTCTCCATAGTGGGAGCAGATTGATGCAAATGCTTGCAAGCTGTGCAGAAGAAGCATATATATATATATATATATATATATATATATATATATATAGATGAATTTACGGTTCAAAGGAGACACAGACACTGCATTACTGCCATCGAAACTCAAAGAATTAATAGCTTAAACATTTTTTGCCGCAACACTGTGTTTGAAATTAGCCACTTCTTGTATAATTCCAGTGCGCGGTTAAAGGATAAACTACCGACTCTGACAGCCTCAAAGTGCATTTATAAATGAAACTGTTCTTGTGGATACAGTTACATAGATAGAACAGATCAGAATTGTCCAATGTAACTAGGAATCCTAAAGCCAGTCTGTAGTTCCATATTGGCACACGTAGTGGACAAAAATTCATCTTTTACAATTCTATGCAAGGTGCCACTCCAATTCTCTAGGCTGGTACATCTTCAGTTACTAAGCTTAGCTTAGATGATCGCTATAAAACATTTCCAGCTTAGTCTGTATTCAGAAAACGTTTGTCCAATCTCTATCTCTCCCTTGGCCTCGACCACTAACCTAGAATAGTTAACTCACGCGGTGCCACTGGATAACTGCAATTATTATTATTACTGCTAACTTTATTATCAGTATCATACTGTGATATAATTGCATAGTTTAATCTTTGTTTTACGCTTCATTATTACTTTCCTACTTTCATTCTCCCCGATTATATTTGATTCCATTTATCCACATTGCTTCATCTGTCTATGACTGATGTCTTCTTATGTAATTTTAAAGCCTGATGAGAATTTACAAAAAATACGTGTTCCGAAATTATCTTAATGGGAATTTTCACTCTGTATATGGCAGAGGAAATATATTTCTTCCCCATTGCTTCAGTTCATCATTGGTAAGCTGAATGTGGAAATGGGAATTTAAATGCACCTGGGGAAACATTATTCAACTGAAAATTGATAACATAATAGTGGTTTTGTACTCAAATACGAAATATTTCGAGTCATCAAATATAACATTGTACTCAGTTGTTGGTAGAGGGAAACCAAGGTACATTGTTGTGAAGTCAGCTACCTTATTATTTATTGATGCGCCAGGCAAAAAGGCTCTACTTATGTGAGCAGAAGCTGCAATTGCAGTACTCTGTGGAGGTAGATAAGCTGCTGCTGCGGCAGTTATTCCATCTAAGTTGCAGCCTACGGTTTTAAAGAATTGAATGGAATAGTGCAAGAAGACTCTGACAACTCTCCAGCGGTTGCGTCAGGTTTGGTTCTCGACTGGCGCAGCCCTAAACTTGGCTTAGCCGATGGTAAACCCGATAAAGAGGGAAAACTGGACATGAGGCTATCGCCCCCATCCTGTGAAAGTAACAATACTGCTACTGAAACGTCAGAGCCGAAACGTGAAGCCCTGTGTTCCACTCGAGAAACAAAGGAACTGAAAAAATATTGTCGCACTCAATAATTTTCACTCTCTATCAGATATTAGCGAATTGTACCTATGGCGTGACATGTATTCCTTCACATTAGTATATATGAGGGCAACTGTGAACACTAATTTGACCAGGAAAATGTTAAAAATTTCCACGGTAAAAACACTAAAAATACTAGAGAATTCCAAGATGCCTGGTACTCACAACAGTCTTCACTTAACAGACATGTTAGCATAAATTCCATTTTTTAATGAGTAACAGACAAGTCAAAAGTCAATTAGACCAATTATGACCTCAGAAAAAAACGATGGATGCCAATACAAACTAGTACAAGTATAGGAAAGCCTGTGATGACAACCAATCCCAGTGAAAATCCTGGAGAATTTCTACATTAAACTCATTTCACAATGAATTGAAGATGCTGTTCAGAAGGGAAATGAAACCTTGGGACACAGAAACACTTAAAAAGACATACAAAACATGCATCTTAGGCAGCTGAAGGCAGTCGGCAGGATGTTGTGTTTGTTGACACTCAAAGGTCTGAATCTGAGTCACACACTTTTGGAGTCAGAGACGTTACCACTGGTTCAGAATTAGCATATTGTAAGACCACAATATATACATTACTTAGGGTGCCTTAGTAGGGTGCAATCACTAACACGTTCCCAATCCTATTTTGGTTCAGTACAATTGTACAACTGTGAAAATGAAATCGTCGCAAGGAGAAAATCTTTGTTATTGTATGTTAACGGACATAATGACGTTTAAGGTAAGATAAAAAAGAATGATCAAATGAGTTCAATAAATTGTACAACTGGGTAAACTTAGTGGAATAACAGAATAGGCTAATTCAGAAAACAACAGATGTCTCACTTGTGAATAATCAAGAGGTGTATAGGCTTTATTTTGAAAGCTTTACTATCTAATAAAAAGAAGGGAAGTGGAGATAAAAACGTCGCCTCTTTTGTCACTTTGTATGTATGTGTGTGCAATAAGTGAATCTTTAGACGGAAGAATTAAACACGTAGTGCATAAAATGTAATGCACAGTATATCTTATCAACCAGTTAGTTCAACTACTTTGAATAATTTACACGTTTCATCAGAGGGATAGGGACAG